TGTTTCTCCAAAATCTATTTTTTAGCAGTGCTGTAATTGTACCTCTCCACCAGAGGGAACTGTATCCATTAGTTTTCTATGCTTCTCCTGGTCTGTAAAACTCAGGAAGTTTTCGTACTAGCTTTGTGACTATGTTAGAAACAATTAAAGATGCTTGAACTTTCTTATAAGGATCACAAATTCATATTAGAAACCTAATCAACTCTATTTAAGAAAAGCCTTTTAAAATATCCTTTGAAGGACATTTACTCATAAATTATCTGTGAATTCATTTGAAATAAAGTTGCTGTTTTTACAATGGGGTAAATTTTAGTATAAGAAAAATGTGCTTCATAGGAACATTTTACTTACAGAGTATGGGATTAAGTTTGCCACCATGAGGCATAGAACCCTTGCTATATTTGTGAAGTAATTTCTTACGTTCTTTCAAGACCCCAAAAAGGACTATATTCTTGATGGGGTGTTCTTGTAAATACATAAATCAGGGCACTGTGACTGAAGACTGTTAATGATTAATTTGTTTATGAAGTTGGGATCTAGAATTAGACTTTCTCAGTTAAGTGCAGGTCATTTAATTTCCTAATGCTTGACTTTGACAAGTCTGTTAACCTTTCTCTGCCTCAGATTCTAGGTATTTAAAATAACACCTATCCCATAATACCTATCCCATAATATTATTGTTAGGATTGAATGAATTAATATACATAAAGTACTTAGAGTGCTTCGCCATAGTAAGTCTTAAAAAATGTTAGCATTAATGTTCACAATTAACTATTAATCATCTCGCTTTAGGCTCTAATTTTATATTACGTGGTATAACATTACTTAAAATTGTATATGTTAATCATATGGAAATTCCTTGAGAAGGCAGTACAATTCATATACATATTCATTTTACTCATGCCTCGAAAATTATAGAACAGTGGTTCTCAACACTGGTTGTACATTAGAATCTTCTGAAACTCTTTTAAAAAAATAAACCTCCTGTTCTACCCTGCTGTCTCCCCTCCCACATTGAAATTGATTTGATCAAGTGCTTGGACAGTGATTATCTTAAAAATCTTTTTATTATGGAAATTTTCAAGCATCTTCAAAAGTAGAGATGAGTATAATAAACCCAATCTACCCATCATCCACTTCATTAAGTATGGCACTGATATTTTTACAAGGCTGTTGAGAAACCTCTGCATTTGATTTAATAAGTATAAGTTGAGCATCCCTAATCC